TGCTGACGATCAGGGGGCTGCCCGCGGGGCCGCCGCGGTCCATGGCGGCTTCCCGAGCCGCGCGCCCTGCAAAGAACCGAAGGCGCGGTGAGGTCGGGGCGGGCTTACCCGGGGAGGCGCAGCCCTCGCGCTCCCCCTGGGCGCCGGGCCCGGCCGTCCGACGTGGCTCGGGGCGTTCTCAGAGACGAGGTCCTTTGGACTGGGGCGCGTCTGCCTCCCGGCGTCTGGGGAGAGTTGTGGGGCCTGCGAGTTCCCGGGCTGCTTAGAAGGATGAGCGGGGGCGCGGTGCCCGTTTGACTTTCCACGGACAAATTAAGCGAAAGGACTACTCTACTGGGGAAGGAAGACTTCGGAAGCACAGCTCCGGTTCGGAACTTGTTCCCCCTCCTGGAACGTTATCCGGACAGTCCCGCAGGGAAGATGGTGCGGGTCAATCTCACCCAGTGTGGCGGGAAGCCCTGGCCTCGTATGGCTCACGGTGCCCACCCCGGCCGCCCTCGCTCCCGAGGCCAGGGACCCCGGGGACGACGGCGGGAGCCCAGGGTGATTTCTGCTGGAGGAGTGGGGGGCCCCTAGCCTCACCTCGGACTAAGACACCCGCCACCCCTGCGGGCCCGGGACCGCGAGGCGCAGCGGCATCAGACCGGGGCCCTCACCTTTCCTGGAGCGGCCGTGTGGGGCTCGGCTCCGCGGCGCGAGCGGGCGAGGAGCGTCGAGCCGGGTCTGCGTGGCCAGGGCCGCACCGGTCACTCCATCCTCGTCCAGCCGAACTCGACGGCCGCTTGCAGCCCCGGCTGGGTGCGCCTTTTATGCAGGCGTCCCCGCGGCTAGGCGTTCGTGCGGGCCAAGCTCGGCGTCCGGCACGACAGGCAAGACAGGCCGAGGTCCGAGCCCACTTGAGGGTCTATGCCCCAGGCTGCGTCCCAGCAGTGCGGCCCCCTCAGCGGCGGGAGAGTAGTTAATCACACCGTCCGGTGGGCGGGGCCAGGGGCGGGGCGTCCTTCTGGCCCCGCCCCCGCCCTGGTTCGCCCCGACGCGGGTCACCTAGCGCCACACGTCCAGCAACCGCGCGGCTGGCGGCCGGCGGGGCCAGAGCCGGGTCCGGGTCCTAGTCCTCCAGGTTGGCCTTGCGAGTTACCTCACTTTGCCGCCGCCCTTCGGCATCGGGGGCAGTCTGAGCTCGGGCGTCTTCCAGGCAGGCGCCGGGCTGAGGCGGGAACGCCGCCGTTTTGTTGAGCGTGACTTGTAATTTTCTGTGAGGAGCTGTGGAGTGTGCCGCCTCGAAGCGCTAACCTTTTACTACCACAAGGTAAATGTTTCCTGCCGTCCTCGTCACTTAAAGCAGTAGTCCCTCCACCTCGGGACTCCGCGCCGAGGTAAACTGCTCCCACTGTTTGTGCTGCTTTAGGAAGTTCCCCGAGCTGGAGTCAACGGCCCTGGGATGGCGGTCGCTTCTCCCGGGCCGGGGACCCTGCCGGCCGCCTCTGCAGCCCCCGCGGGCCCCGCTTTGTTTCATTCTTAGGCTCCGTCGCCTGCGGGGCAGTCGCCTGAGGTGGTTGGCACTTGTGGCCCCGCGGGGAGCGTGGCTGGCGGTGAGGGCGCCATCCCCGGCTCCCTCAGAACGCGGGCCGGCCCGGGCCGCCGCGGCTCCGCCGGTGTCGCACCGTCGCCTTCAGAGGTGAAGTCCGAGTGGACGCACGGTCTTTCCCAGCAACGTAATTAGTATATCCCTGAAACAGCGCCTACGATTCCAAGAGCGGGACATTTTACAAATTTAAAATATCATTAATGAAACTGCTCTTGTATATGCGACATAATTTCATAGTTTACAATAGATTTTTTAATTGGAACTACCAAGTAGCACACAGTAATGGTGGCACTTGTATTTGAATATCAGTCCACGCTTTAAGTGTATTAGTGAATCAGAATAATCCTCAGGCTTTCGTGTCGATTCCCATTCAGTAACTGTAATCAGATTTACACCTTAGAAAGAAGCACACCAAAATCCCATTGGTCCAAACAAGGATTACTTTCTTTTGATGAATGAGAAAGCACATTATCTTTATTTTCCCAGTAAATTGTATGTTGTGAGGAATAAAGTGATTGGAAAGCAATGTTTCAGATTCTATAAAAGAAGCAAATCAAGCAAGAATTTTCTCTTTCCTTTTTTTTTTTGTGTGAGGAAGATCAGCCCTGAGGTAACATCCATGCCAATCCTCCTCCTTTTTTTTCCCTTTTTCCCCAAAGCCCCAGTAGATAGTTGTATGTCATAGTTGCACATCCTTCTAGTTGCTGTATGTGAGATCCCGCCCCAGCATGGCAGGAGAAGCGGTGTGTTGGTGCGCCCCTAGGATCCAAATCCGGCAGCCAGTAGCCGAAGCTCTCACTTAACCCCTGAGCCACCCGCTGGCCCCTAGAAGTTTTTCTTATACATATCATGAGACAGCTCAAAGCTACAAACCATAAAAGATGATGTTGCCTAGTACTGTAAAAATAAAAAATCAAACGCTTCACATCACTTAAGGCTGAATTTACTTGTTTATTACAGATTTTCTTTTGGGTTGTGGAGGAGGTGAAGTTCATGTACATCATTTTTTGTCAGCAAGCTTTCAGATTCCTTCAAAGAGAGATTCCTGTATTAACAGAGAAAAAAAAAAAGCATGAAATTATTTCAAAAGTGAAAGTTATCCAAACCAAGTAGCAAACATATAGAATCTAGGACACAAGAACAATAGTATAGGCTAATGATTAGTCACCAAACTGTGTGAATCTTCCCAGGTTTTAATGGAAGCAGAAACATAAAGATTTTCCCCCTGGGATAGGGAAGAATGTGGAAAATCTAAGAGTTGAGAGAGGTGTGGAAATAAGAATATTGGAGGGAAGGTGGGCCAGGACTAGAGTGAGGCAAATTAGGTGCCTAGGGCTCCTTAAATTTTGCACCTGTGGCATCTCACATGCCTCACCTTAGCCTAGCCTGTTAGAGTCTCCTGTTACTGTGGGAGGTGGGGTGGAGGTAAGGACACAACAGAGGCTCTTCACTGCTAACAGTGGCTGGCCAGTGGCCACCTGTGTTGCCCACCAGTCAGGTTGGAAAGAAAGGACTGAGTAACAAGACCCACCACTGCAGGCCACCCCCTCGTCCTATCTGTTGCCACTCCAAGCAGCCTCTCTGAATCCTCTGATAATTCTAGAGTAGTCCTAATTCCTGCAAGAAACCAGTATTTGCAGTTAAATTCAAAATAGAAGATGAAACTCTTCAAATTTTCATAATCACATGAATTAGTACCTTATTTAACTCTTTATATGTGCTAAGTGCTTTACAAAAAAACACTTTATTTCTCATTTAGTCTTTACAAAAAGCTTTTGAGCATTTTACATTTTACACTTGAAAAAATAAAGATTAGAGGGATTAAGTAACTTGTCCAAGGTCACACAGCTAGTAAGTGACAGAGACAGAATTCAAGCCAGGCAGATTGATCCTAACACTTGTGCTCTTTACCATACTATTCTATTTAATATTTGTAGAGTTCCCCATAATTTGCAAAACATTTTTTGTATCTATTATCTCAAGAAAGAGCATACTTTAACTTGACTTCCTATTAACAATCCAAATACTGTTTTCATAGTATATCATTCTTTGGAGTTCTTTTTGAGTCTTCCAGAAAGTATATGGCTTTAGAGTGCTGTAGATTTTATTTCACGGAGTGTGGTGCGGGTCTTAAAATTTTACTTGTCTTTTTTCTAAATATGTCAAATAATTTTTCATCTTAACTCATCTTTATTATGGAAAATGATCACACATAGTGAAGAAAATATGTTGGTTTTATACATATATATATATAAAACAATAGGTTTTATATAATTGGTGCTTTTCACTTTTCACCTGTTTCTTTCATTGTTTAAATTAAGGAATAATTTACATAGTTAAATTCACTTTTCTGAGTATATAGTTCAGCAAGTTTTGATAAACATATACAGTCATGTAACCACTACCACAATAAAGATATGCAACATTTCATCACCTTCCAAAGTTCCCTTGTGCTGACCCTTTGTAGTCAACCCCTAATCCTTGGCAACTACTGATCTGTTTTCTGTCTCTATGGTTTTGCCTTTGCCGGAAGGTCATAGTATCATCCAGTATGTAGCCTTTTAAGTCTGGCTTCTTTCACTTAGCATAATGCTTCTGAGATCTGTTTATGTTGTTTTGAGTATCACTAATTCACTCCTTTTTATTGCTGAGTAGTATTCCATTGTATGGATGTACCACAGTTTGTTAATCCATTTCCCAGTTGAGAGACCTTTGGGTTATTTCCAGCTTTTGGTGATTGTGAATAAACCACTATAATCATTTGGGTACAGATTTTTGTGTGAGTATAGGTTTTCATTTCTTGGGAAGATTCCTAGGAGTGGGACTGCTAGAAGTGGAAGAATATGTTTAACTTTATAAGAATAGGTGAGAGTATTTTCCAAAGTGGCTGTACTATTTTTGCATTCCCACCAGTAGTGCATAAGAGTTCCAATTGCTCCATATCCTTGCTAGCATTACCAGATTTTTTTCTTTTTATCCATTTTAATAGATATTTTTTAAAAAATATGGATCCAATATTTTTAAAAAATCCAATATTTTAAAATCAGATGATTTCACAATCTGGACATCTCACTTGCCAGCTAGTCTTATTTCTCAAGTTCAGCATGTCTGCCTGGCTGCATCATTTTGGAGCTGCACAGCTGCAGTTGCCTTTAGTTGAACATGTGCTCTCCAGTTCATCTCAATCACATTCTCACTTGCTTCCCTCACTTACGTTACCTACACCTGAAAGGGTTTTTGAGACCTCCTTGGAGGGTAGTTGAGAGCTTGGCTTTGGCGTCAATGACCTGGATTCAAGTCCCAGCTCTGCCTCGTGGCAACGGCGTGACTTTGGGCCCCTCTGACTTGGCCTCTCCAACGCTTATTTTCCCCATCTATAAAATGGGTCTGATAGTATTCTTATCTCAAAGGGTTCTACTGTTTTTTAAAATGTGTTTGGGTAATAAAGATTCAGCTTTCAAAGTAGACATTTTAAAATGGAAAATAACTAATATAATTCTTTTAAATTAGATCTTACCTAACTCTTGTTCACAGAGTAAGCCATTAATAGTTGAGACTAGAAGTCACAAAAGCTAGCTTAGACTGTTCTAAAAACTCTTTATGTTGCTTACCACTATTGTTTTTTTTGAAGGGGAGGGTGTCCTAATTTCAAAAGGATTTTTTTGGGAACTGCAAATCAAAATCTTAGCATTACACCCACATTACTGATACATATAAGTTTATTTTGCATGTAAAATTAATTAGACAGAGGTTAGGTTTAACAAAGCAAAATTAAAGGCATTTAGAGCTTTGCAAATGAGTTTATATAAGATCATCCCAGAATTTTGTGACTAAATATTATCTGTTTTTAAAATTCTTCTTGAATTACATAGGAGATCTATTGTTACAACTGTTCAAACAGAACCTTAACAGTGGTGAAAGCAAGTTATTTTTACTGTTATTAACCTTCACTTTTTAACTCAAAGAAACCTAATGCTTCCATATTCTAACTAAAGATAGTGGATATTTTATAAATAGTTAAATAACATACAGTGACCATTTCCTGTGAATTATGATTCTCGTTCCTTAAAGGTATCTGAAACTAAGGGCATTCTAACCCAGCTAGAAAGTTATTATTTTTACATTAACAAAAGATGGATTGACTCTGTTGACATTGCTTAGGCTTGAAAGATTTGATAGTTAAATAATTGAGTAACAGTTTGCTTTTTTCATTGTACAGTGCTGTGCAGTATTCTCAGTGGATCTTATTTACAATATATAGATGCATTTAATGTCTTTTAAAATTACTAAGCCTCAAGCACCTCATAGCATGTTTGAAAAGAGAGGAAACATCTGTCACAAGTATTTACTGTGACAAACACAGAAGCAATAATGTGTACATTTTTTGTTTAATACCATATATTATTTTTAATTGAACAGTGAAGGCATTTGTTCAGAATCAGCCTGTAAATAAAAAATAGTTTTGAACTAATCTTTAATTAAAGTGTACATTGATAGTATCAAGTTCAGTTTGAGGGTCAAAAACAACGTCAATGAGTCTGACTTTTTCCTCCCTGTAGGGAAGGGCAGGCTTGTGTAAATATACATGAGCACAGACTGCATGCATTTATAAAGGAGGTGGAAAACATTCCCCTGTCATTGGATAGATGTTGCTTCACTGTGTTCCACATAGGATACAGGCACAGCTCCCAATGTGCAGAACCTTAAAGGAGTGTGGGGCACATACTTTTAGCATTTTGGAAGAAGCACTGCACTCTAAGCTCCTTTCCACCTTTGAGCAGGTTCCTCACCTCACATATTAATTGTAGACTATAGGGGACTGGTCTGCTGATGCCAGCTCATTCTTCCCCTTAAAGTAATTAAGTTGCTTAAATCAACTTTTTAGAAACCAAGAATCTATTCTTTGTGTTTGGGCTGGATATTTTGTTTTTAACACTTTACTGACCTAGCTTTATTCTCATTATATCTTAGCTTTATGCTTAATTAATAAAATGTTAGCAATAGGCACACCCTAAAAATCTACATCAAGAGCTTAATGAAATTCCATAATATATTTGGTCATGTTTTATTAAAGAGAGGTAGAACTGATATTCCCATTTAATAAGACTTAAATCTTTTGCAATACCAAAGTGATATTTTGGCATGCCTTCAGTAAAAATGTTACCCGAGGAAATGAAAAACATTTAAAACAGAATATTTATGTAATATTTTTTCACATTATAAAACTGAAGAATCTGGGGCCAGCCCGGTGGCATATTGGTTAAGTTCACGCACTCCGCTTTGGTGGCCCGGGGTTCGCAGGTTCAGATACTGGGCGTGGACCTACACACCGCTCATCAAGCCATGCTGTGGCGGCATCCCACATACAAAATAGAGGAAAACTGGCACAGATGTTAGCTCAGCGACAATCTTACTCAAGCAAAAAGAGGAAGATTGGCAACAGATGTTAGCTCAGGGCCAATCTTCCTCACACACACATGCACAAGACAAAAAAACCCCTGAAGACTCAAGATTGAAAATCAACTTCACTGACAGTGGCAGAAGTGAGACATTCTTTATGTTCTTCTCACAGGAACCCCTCTAGTCTGCTGGCTGCTTTTGGGGTTGCCTGTCTTTGCAGTATATAGTAGTTAAAAATGTATTTAACTTTGTATTTAGTGTTCCTAGTTAGGAAAATGAGGATAGAGTGGTTTATTTGCTGTTGCGTCAGTGCTGTCCTAATGATTAGAGCTTTGCTTGGGGCTGTAGAATATGTGGTATGGGCCACAGCTCACAACTGATCTTAGTGTGTGTGGCAATGTATAGAATTTACCAACACTGTTTTCTGAGGCCATGTCCATTTTTATTATTTTCTTTTCCACCTTGATGATATACTAGCAAGACCTTTCAGTATGCTTAGCAAAGAAACAAAACTCAAGAACACTGTTGTGGAATTGACACTAGTTGTATAAATCTTTTAACCATCGGGGTGCTGTGGACAAACTGGCTGAAGTTTTGATGGTAATGACAATGGAAATACAGCAAAATTAAATTAAAAAGTAATTATAAAGTAAAGCAAATTCTCACACAGTTTCTGTTTTTTGTGTGTGAATGGAGAGGAGGCAAGGCCAAAACTAGGACTCCCTGCATGTCCTTTCTCCTCTCCCCAAAAAAAGCATTTTCCAGACTCTCAGGACTCTCTCTCCCTTAAGCCTCCATCCCAGCAAGTCTAAGCCACTCTTTAGGGAATGGGTAGAACAGTGCAACAGTGTTGTTCATGGGTCTTCTTCAGGTGGGCTCCATTAAGGAATGCTAAATCACCATCCCTTGATTGGATCCTGCAAGGAGGGTCTCATGACAAACCCACCTGACCTTCAGCAGGCAGTTCTGGAAAAAGGAAATCTATTCCAAAGTATGTTCACTGGCTCTGATTACTTTCTCAATGAAATATGCTGTTGCCCTTCATTATATTGTAATGAGTATTATATGATTGGAAACATCAATAGAGCAATCATTGTATTGATTATAAATGAAAAAAATTTAATGAATAATTTATCAGATGTATTAGGATCTGATTATAATGCCCATAGCATTTATCACACTATACAGTAATTGTATCACATTTGACTCTCCAACTAGCTTGTTGAAAAATCTTTGAGATCAGGACTATCTCATTTGAGTTTTTATATTCAGATGGTCCAGCATATAGCAGGTGCCTACTAGTTTTATGAATAAATGAAGTTATTTTCTGGTATGATTTATCTTTACATTGAAGAAATATCATCTTTTAAAACCAAAAAAGCAATTTTCTTCTCAGCAGGAGACTTAGAGCTGATTCATATGGAGCGAAATTATCTATCTATTCAAAGTTTAGAATAGTGATTCTTCAACTATTTTTTGGATCATAAACCCCTTTGAGAATCTATTGAAACTTCTAATGTTTCCTTCAGAGACACCAGATTAAGAATCTTTGGTTTGGAGAAGTGGTGAAAGTAGTCTATCTCTGTAGTGCTCTGGGCTTCCCCTCCTTTCTGTCACTAGATGCCCTTGTAGTCATCCACTCAGTAGTGGACCACCTATCATCAGTAGGGCCTCAGACTCCTTTGATATGATCCCTGCTCTATCAGACATCTTTACTTGCTGCTTCTGGGACTTTCCTGAGTCACCTGCCCTACGTCAGTGGGTGTATCTAGTCTGTGACTCCCAGCTCTTCTGGAATCAACCCTTCCACCACAACTTTATGACTGACTGGGCAGACCAATGATGAACAATGTTGGTTTTTTTTTTTTTTTTTGGTGCTGGGCCAAGAAGAATTGAGAACAGAGTACTAAGAAACAGATGGAGAGCCTCTCTTCTTCTGTGCTGTTGATAGTGAGGGTGTCCCATCCTCTAAAAAAGATAAATTGCACAAATATTTGAAAGAACCTACCCCATCTCATCAATAATTTTAGGGTTATCTTGGGAGCTTTCCGGAGATGCATTTCCGTTTGCAAGGTATCTCTGTATATCAGAGAAAAAGACTAATTTTGGCTTACCCACCTTTAATAAACAGGAACTATGTGATGCATTGTTTCAAAGTTACCTGTAGCATACCAAAAATTAAAAGCATTCTGCTTTGAAACTAATAACTCAATTGTAAACATGCCATATAACAGCATTAGAATTATATTTTATGAAATAGAATTAAATAAAGTTAAATAGATCCACAGTAAAACCAATAAAAAATTAATATTCCAAGATAAAATATCACAGCCTTTCATACATAAAAACCTACACAGGAAAGGTTATGGTCAACTCTCAGAGACAAAACAGGTACACCAGCGTTAATATAAATGTTAATGGCCCTTGCATTTTGCTCTTCTGAGTTTATTTTTTCGGAGTGTTTAACCTTTAGGGAGTAGATTAGTCAGGTATAGTTTTTGGAATATGTTCATACCTTTATTTTGGCACTTAACATTCCACATCATTTCCCTGTTGATAGATCCTCCTCCCTTTCCAGCAGTGGGGACTGCCTTATTCACCTCTAATTCCCAGTGCTTAGCATAATCCTGGGTACATTCAAGGTGCTCAATAAACGTTTATTAAGTGAGTAAATGAATGTTTCCATTGAAGCACTACAAAAGTAAATGCTAAAAGATATGCTTATATTTTGGATTTTGTTAAAGTGTTTGATTTTGTTTTCAATTTTGAATTATATAGTTACATGGCTATATTTAGGGCAAGATTTTTTATTATAAGATCCCTCAAGTCTGAGGTCATAAACCCTATAATCTTACCATAATCCCCAATATAGAGCTCCAAATTTACAAGGCTATCAAACACATGTGAAAGGTCAGGAAGTACAATAATTACTATCTTCCTAAGAATTCCTGTTCACTTACAATTGTATTTGGTTGTCTTTAAAAAGACACCTTTAAAGAGGTGTCTTGAAAAGGTTCCGTTAGCTCTTCTAAAGACCTGAAAGGTATACTGTATATTTAAAAAATACATTATATATCTTCTAGACTTTAATTTGTGCTTTCCATTTCTCTTGAGCAGTAATAACAGCCTTTGCATGAAGACCATAGTGTATGCTATTGGCCACATACCTAAGGATAGAGTTATTGAGTGCTACATACATCTATCCAGGGATATCACTGGTTTTAAGCCTGAGAGACTCAGAACTGTACCATTTGTTTGGATGGGGATGGCAAACATGTGCAAGAGGGGAGGGAGAAGGATATCTACAAGTGGCCAAGGGAGAATTCTCAGAAAATACTGAGAAAAACTCAGGTAATTTTCTATTGCAGCTAGTCAGCTTTCAATTTCAATTTTATTTTAATTGACATTAGAATATATTTTTCAATACAGTAAATCATATAATCTATTTGCATACTTTTAAAATTTCAAAACAGTAAATCATATCTATTTGAATACTTTTAAAATTTCAAAACAGTAAATCATATCTATTTGAATACTTTTAAAATTTCAAAGTTCTTTCATAATATATTATCCCATTTTTCTCCCTAGTTTTTATTTATAAAAATTATTTGTTACATATCACATATTTACACATCTGCAGATTTTCTTAAATTCCCACCAAACTGAAGTGAATTTCTAAGTAGAGCAGACATTATTGTCCTTATATCTGAGCACAGTTCAGCCAGTCATTGCTAGAGTGGTCACTAGAAGCCAAAGCTTTTTCATGAAGTTAGATAACTTTGATTAATCACTGTGCCGCCTGCTATTGTTGTGACCTTAGACAAGTTATTTCACCTTTCTGAAACTCAGCTTTATCATCTGCAAAATGGATATAATAATTATCTGCCCAACAGATTATAAGGATTAAATGCAATAATATGTATAAATATCTGAAATGTTTGTACAGTAAATATTAGCTCTCTTCTTCCCTTGCCCCCTCTTCTTTGCCTCCTAGACTGGAGTGCTTCCCATTTTAAATTATTAATGATTATCATAATAGCAACTACAACGAGGTATGAAATGATGCTTCTGTACTATAACATTCTATATGACTTTTTAAAAAAAATTGTGGTAAGAACACTTAACATGAGACCTACCCTGATAAATTTTTTTGTTTATTGCAGTAACATTGGTTTATAACATTGTATAAATTTCAGGTGTACATCATTATACTTCTATTTCTGCATAGATTACATCATGTT